GAATGCAACTGATTCGTGTATGCCGACGGTTTGAGCATGTATTTACTTGTAATTAGTGTGATACCATTTCAATTTAAAATATGTCACATTTTGGCGATTTTTTCAAATTTGGGACGGTGAAATTATCCAAAATAGGCCCGTAAATAATCTGTAGGACAAAGGCAATTTTCTTTAAGTTAACTAACGTTCTGCCAGTTTGTTCCCCCCAACTAGACTGTTCCCCATACGAAGCAATTCTTTATGTGAAGGTATTCCCCTGCGAGGTTGTTCCCTCTATCTGCCAGGGTGTACTTCCTGCTAGACTGATCGCCTTTGAAGTTGTTCCCTGTTCCGCCGTTCAAATTTTAACAAATTGTCAACCCTGTACATAAACTCTTCCCTTAATTCCAATCGTACAATATATATTCTAATTAGCATAAAATGAACCCACGACTTCGCAATCAACGAATCGTACGGCGAATCTAGTTATGTGATTTGAATTGTATATTTTCTAAATCGAAATTAAGTCTGAATCCAATTGTAAAACAAGTTTTTGCTGAAATATTCGTCAAAAAAAGTTTTTTCTGAGATCTATTTGTTCTTCTATAATACTAAGTTCTATGAGATGAGAACATCCCACACAAAAAGTCAAGAAACGGAAGCAACAATATATCTCAATTAATTCATCGCACTTTCCATGAAGCCATTTGTTTGGCTGTATTTCAAATAATGGTCAAGTACATTTTAAGTACACTTTATAGGAAAACCGTGAGAAGAATACAGTGTCATTTAAATATGTGGCGTTCTATTTATGTCACGGCGATCGTTCATCAAGGTGTGTCACCAGAAGGAGGTCACTTATACACCGAATACATATATACATCACTATGTACATGGCTCATAGGCACATACACCAGAGGCCGGAAACCTCACTAAGCCTAGTAAGCATATAAAAAGGCCTGCAGCTATTAAGTACTGGTTAGCTACTAAGTTAGTGCGGTTTCATGAATATGGTCCTAAGTTTCGTATTTTGTTTTTATTATTTCGTCCAGTATTTTATTAAATTCACCAAACGCTAGGGTTAACATAATTCTATAAAAGCATGTGTTGACAAAGTTTAAAGCGCAGTAGTCGTCGCGCTGCTCATGTGCGAGATATATGGGTCTCATATAAACAAAGATGGCGACTTTGACTGTTGCGCAGATCAACGAGTAAGAACTGACAAACCTCATACTTGTGATTTTCATTTGAAGAGCGCATTGGATTGTGGGAAAATCAATGTTTATCATCACAAATGTGGCACATGCGCAGCGCGACGACTACCGCGCTTTAACCTGTTTTCATTTTTAGACTGAGTTGAGACAAGATCGATCTTGATAGTCCATTGACTTGAATTGGCCACTATTCCATCCAAACCATTGAGACATACATATAGTGGGATACAAGTTTATGTTGTAAGAATTGTGTAGTAATATTATATTCACATGACTGATAACTGTAGAACCACGTGCACTGCATTTATTATTTATCAAGTTGTTTCGGTTAATTGTAGGTTGTATGCCGCTTTGCGTTTTGGGATTTGTAACTTCCATTCACGAATATGAGTTAGATGACGTTATTTTGACGCCATTAGCAAATTTGACATGATAACATATGGAAATCATATGATGGTCTATTACGTAGTCCCCGGTTGTAAAATATATTGGTTAGAACTAAACGGCATTAGCAGGCCAAATTCCCGGTTGTCATGACAGCATTCACTCCAGCAATGCAATATGTCAACTCTAGGTTCCTCACATTGTGTATTCTGGTCCATTCATTTATATCACGTTTATCCCAAGTGTCGTTGTATTACGTTATTTCGGCTATCCACTTAATTAATTATTCAACTCAGTAACTTACCCAAATGCAATTACGTTATACTCCCTCTGGAAAAGATAGTAAACGTGATTGACATTGTTATTGAAATAACAAACATAATGAAAGGAAGCGGAATGGACTCATATGTTTTGAGAATTTTCATCAATTTTAATAATATTAATTAAGCAATATTTCGACTTGCTGACGTTTTTACGTTTTCAGTTATTGTGTCTGTAGAGGTAGAACTTTGTGATGCAGGTGACAGTGAGTCAGAAGATATGCATTCAATTCTTTATGGTTGTTATTACATTGCTACCACAAGTACTTAAAGCGGGGGAGTCGTCACCTACGCATGCGTCAGAAGGTCATAGCGTGTCATTGTTTACAAACAAGCGTCTACCCATGAGTCTTTGCGTTTTTAGCGTATGTTGTTATCGGGACTCAATTCCCGCGCGTGTGCAGGTGACGACCCTCCCGCTTTAAAGTACTGTAGAACATATGGAGTGTTTAGTCCTAAGCTCATTTGCTATGACAGGGTATGTATTGCTTATGATAAGTGCTTAAAGCGACATTGTCTTCTACTAAATAAATTGTTAAAGCGGGGGAGTCGTCACCTGCGCATGCGTCAAGACGGCCACATCGTGTCATTGTTTACAAACAAACGTCTACCCATAAACCTTTGCGTTTTTAAGCGTGTGTTGTTAT